AAAAGAAAAAACGTTAGTAGCCACATTATATGTTATATTCAAAACAATAATCAAATTAAATTTACTTTCCTATTCATAATTCACGTGTATTCTCAGGTCGATTTTAAGAAAAACAGCTCTTATCAGAATATTAAAACTCATCATATGAGAGCTGACATAACATGATCAGCGGACCAACGGTCGAACACCAATCACTAATGGACTAACCCATCAGAATTTTTATTCGCATCAGAGAGAACGGACAACGATCAAACGTCCTCTATTTGGGCAGACCACCGTACAAATTGGAATGGCCAAAATGATGACCATTCCATATTATTTTTCTTTGAAAAAAAAAGAAAAAAACATTAGTAGCCACATTATATGTTATATTCAAAACAATAATCAAATTAAATTTACTTTCCTATTCATAAATCACGTGTATTCTTTACTAATTTCAGGTCGATTTTTGGAAAAAATATGAAAAGACCAATTGACATTTCCTCAAAAAAAGAAAAAACAGTAGTAAATGGTAGGTTTTCAAACTTAAGGAAAAACAATTTTAACTTCCCATTAATAATCGAATCTAAGTTTCGTTGTAAAATAATTTGAAATTAACCTTACATTATGTCCACTGGTTATTTCCTCGTTACTTAAAATGAATATGCATTTTAGATACGTAGAATACCGGCAAGTTTTCAATCCAATTTCATGATAATTAATAGGTTGCATAGGTCCACAAACAACCTGTTCTGACCAGTCCGAAAATCTGAAAGAATTTTTGGGCCGGAAAATCCTCTCTTTATAAACTAATAATACAAGCAGAACCAATCAAATTAATTATTGATAAGCCTTGTATGTGTGAATCAAACGAACATGCTTAATTCCTAAAAGAATCGGTTGTGAAACGTGACCAATCGCCGTGTAAAGAGAGTGAAAAATGAAGAATCCTTGATTCTTTGATAAAATTGCGGCTTAGACGTCGTGAAACATAATCAAACTCCGTTTAAACAAACAAGCCGAAGAACATGCATATGATAAAAATATTAATTTGTATATTGTAAAACATAATCAAATGCTGTATAAATAAATAAGCCAAAGAATATACTTGTTCCTTGATTCTTTGATAAAAATATTAACTTGGACATTGTAAAATATAATCAAACACCATTTAAACAAATAAAGAACATGCTTACTTCTTGATTCTTTGATAAAGTTAGCTTATAAGCCAAAGAACATGCTTACTCTTGCCAAAAAATATGCATACTTCTTGCTTTGATAACGTTGTGAAACGCCATATAAATAGATAACATGCTTACTCCTTAATTCTTTGATAAAAATATTATTTTAGAAGTTGTGAAACCTAATCAAACACCGTGCCAAAAAAAATGCTTACCCCTTGATTATTTGTTAAAAATATTGGCTTAGACGTTGTAAAACATTATCAAACGCTGTGTAAATAGATAAGTCAAAGAACGTGCTTGCTTCTTTGATTCTTTGATAAAAATATTAGCTAAGATGTTGTGAAACATAATCAAACACCGTGTAAATAAATAAGCAAAAGAACACGCTTACTTCTTTGCTCTTTGTTAAATAAAATATTCACATGAATGTTATAAAACATTATCAAACGCCACGTAAATAGACAAGTCAAAGAAAGTGCTTGATTCTTAGTTAAGATGTTGTGAACTATTATCAAACACTGTGAATAGTTAAGCCAAAGAATATGCTTACTCATTGATTCTTTGATATTAGATGTTGTGAAACATAATCAAACGCCGTGTAAATAGATAACATGCATGCTTCTTGATTCTTTGTTAAAATATTCACATGAATGTTGTAAAACATAATCAGATACCGTGTGAATAGTTAAGCCAAATAATATGCTTACTCCTTGATTCTTTAATAAAATATTAGACTATGTAAAACATAATCAAACGCCGTGTAAATGGATAACATGCTCACTTGATGTTGTAAAACATTATCAAACACCGCATAAATAGATAAGCCAAAGAAAGTGCTTGATTCTTATCTAAGACATTGTGTAACATAATCAGACACCATGTGAATCGTTAAGCTTACTTCTTGATTCTTTGATAAAATATTATCTTAGATAACATGCTTACTTCTTGATTCTTTGTTAAAATATTCACTTGGATGTTGTGAAACATAACCAAACACCGTGCAAATAGATAATCAGAACGTGTTTACTTCTTAATCCCCTTGATTCTTTGATAAAATATTAGACTAATCAAACGCCGTGTAAATAGATAACATGCTTACTCCTTGATTCTTTGGGTTGTTGTGAAACATAATTAAAGTTTCGTTCATTTCTAGCTATCAGATATCTTACGTAGATATTAGATATCATATCTAATATAGAAATAACTTTTAAAACAATGTGCATGCATGGTACTTTTTTAGTGCTGAAACTGCGTAAAATATTACTACGTAAGAAAACCATGCTTTTTATTTCTAAAAATATTAGTTTAGTGTCGTGTAACATAAAATCTTGATACCTCATGAAAAAAATATTAGTAAAACACCGTGTCAAAAGATTAGCAAGAATAGAGAATATTAATGCTGACCAGAATTAATTCTAAAGCTTACCCACTTTAATTATGGTCAGAATTAATCCTAAAACTTGTCCACTTTGGTTAAAATTAACAAAGATCGAACTATTACTAGTGTTTGTTTCAAATGTTTAATTTTATATTATATGTAATTTTTTGTATGTAAAGTATTTAAAGTACTGATCTTAAGAAAGTTCGGCCTAGTATTATCGCACTGTATTATAGCCCCTCATCACCAAACTTTTGATTTCAGAAATTACATAATATTATGTATTTAAAAACTACTAATTAACAAGTGTGGCATTCTACTCCAGTTAATAATAAATAAATTTCTTGAAAAATTATTGATTTTATTGTTATAATTAGTACACCTTAAATCATTTTTACATTAGTCATATTATAATGTTACCGTAGTATCCATAAAAAGTGTAAGGTACGAAACATAATTGATAATAACAACAAAATCGATTAAATTTTTAGCAGTACCACGAATCTAAAATATTAAATAACAATTAATAGTATACTTAAATTAAATAAACAAAAAAAAACCTTGCTTACTTGTCATTTTACTGCAATTGTCCAAAAAATAATTTTTGAAGTCCTCAAATTCATCTTTATCTACTGACTGTAGATAATTAATAGTCATATTCAGTTCTCTTAGCATTTTGTGATACAACTCGAAAGGAATTGTTAATTTTTCACCACTAATTACTAATGACAAAAGTAAATCATAAACCCTTTTCCAACGCATTTTTTCCGAATTATGATCTTCAGGAATAGATTGTTTTAAAATATTAATAATAGCTTTATTTCTTTCAGTTTCAAATACATAGGTTTTACTCTTCTCTTGTATATATATTGTATACGTCTGTTGAAGTCTACTAGATAAGTCAATCCATTCCAAATTGATCTTTGTTTGTTCTTTATTTTCCATCATTTGCTCATAATATTTCTTCCATGTTTGCGAAACATATGGTGTATTAGATGGTGTAACTGGAGAAATTGAAGGTCGAATCGATTTTTTCTGTGCAACTCCCTTTATACGATCTTTATAGAGATTTGTAGCAGTGATAGTGCTTCTTTTTTTTTTGTTGCTTGTAGTATTTTCTTGATCTTCGTTATCCAATAAAACTATATCTTGCATTTTTACCTCACTGTCGTCTTCCATTACTTAAATAAAGTGATTTGGTTAGTTACCCGATTGTCTACCAAAAACTCAAGTTATGTCTGAATTGTGATAATTTTACTTACTTTTGGCAAAGTATGCTTTGTAAGCGTCAAAATTTTTTTAAAAAAACGAGGGTTATGAGGATACTGCTTACAAAGGTAATAGTATAGCTTTAATAGCTTAATTAGATTAAATTTATGCCGTGTAACCTTGCATGAACTAAATATCACATGACCCACAAGCACGTCTGTAATCTGTGACAGGTTAAGCCACTAATTTCAATCACCGTCTGATTATATTCCCAGAGTAAGACTTGAC